TACACAGAAAACCTCCCTGAATGTTGAATTTATTTCCACTCATGTCCTCCATTTCATCACATGCAGATTTCAAGAAAAAATCTGAAGACTTACCAGACAAAAAAGATAGATACTGGGGAAAGACCAAGCAGACATTTAGTTCTCAGAAAACAGTATGAATAGTACGCTAACAGCTCCAATGGGAAAAGTAGACAATGGCCAAACAGGATTGAAAGGAAATGTCACCAATCCAGCAAACATCACAGGAATGTAGACGGTCTAGATGGACTCACCACAGACTAGATACGACTCCGGAAAGAATTAGGGATCTTGAAGAAATGGCAGCAGAGTATTCCAACTGTGAGATGCAATGAAAGGAAAGTGAAAATGGAAAATAAACAGGGCTCACGTTACTGGACAATGGTACAACACCTGCCTAGCATTGGGAGGCCCTGTAAAAGTAAAAGCAAAACAAAACAAAAGCCAAAAAAGAATAGAATATCTGAGAAAAACATGGATAACTATAAAAACGAGTCACGCATGCAGATGAAATGAAAAAAAGGAAGAGCACACCCTCGACACACATCCGCATGCCTGGGAAACTCTGTCATGCATTGTCTCACGGAGATCATAGAGAATTTCCCTAGCTACCTTCCAGAGCTCTCGATGAACTCACTCTATCAAGAACATTCTTTATAGTTTTCTGGTGTTAAAAGACACTGAGATTAGACTGAGGTGAAGTACAGAAACTCTATCAAAGGGAAAAACCCTTGGCACTCTCTACGGCACAGGATCCTTGGCCACTGATGGACACAGTGGGTATGAGAGTGCAGATTTTGAGTTCTTGCTTTCTGGAAATTCCACATGCAGGCAATGAAAATGTGTAGCTCCAGGTCCTCAGAGGGTGTCTGCGTAGCGCAGGGTCCTGGATTAGGAAGAGTACGAGCTGCCTGACAAACTGGATTCTGTGCTTCAACCTCTGCTGTAAGAATCTGACTGAAGCCAAGGCACACCTAAAAAGCCTGCCTGCAGAGAAAACTCCTTACCCACATAGAAGGCTGAGAATAAAGAATATGGAGGCAATGGAGGAGCCCACCAGCAGCCTTCTTCTCTTTGCAGTGGGTATACTTACTCGCCACATTCAAATTGGAGGGAGCTACATGCTTCTCAGTCAGGGATTCTGGGCTCTTATCAGACTGCTGGGAATCACACAAGTCCAGGCAATGGGAAAAAGCCAACAAGTTCTCATCCAATTTGTCCTGTGGCACATTATCCTTATCCTCCTTTTCTGGGACGTTCCTGTATGGAGAACAAAAGATAAATGGTGAAAGACTGGAGAGCACAACTTCTTACCTGGTTCTGATGTGAAGACTAAGTAGGAGGCCACAAAAAGTAGCGTGGCCATTGCTTCACAGAGGAGGAATACAACCACCTCTGACTACAACAGAGTGTGAGTTATGGGAGGTTACAGCATGGTGGTGGGTGAGAGAGAAAGCAGCAGGCATGCAGTGCTCTAGTGTGAGGGCATGCAGATGAGGAAGGAGACTCAGCGCTCCCTATAGCATGCATGTATGGCAGGCATACAATGAGAAGCATGCAATAGCTACAAACCCAGTACATTTGGTTCCATATTATTTGCAGGGCTTTCATTAAAATAGGGGTTTCTGAGGCATTGTTGACTCCCAGATATCATGGGAACCACAAGTCTGTTTGCACAGTATTGCAATTTAACATAACTACCTATTCAGTCCATGTGCATTTCTTGCTATAGAAGCCCAGTCAACAAACTGAAGCCTAACTGGAAGAAAGGGGGGTCTGCTTCTCCACCAAATTAACTCCCACAGGAAAGTTCAAGGCTTCAACATGAGTGCAGGCAAACCTGAGATTCGTTCACCTTGGGTCAGAATGACTCTCACTTGCTATACATGAAAAGAAAAGAAAGGTGCAAATAAAAAGAAGAAACACAAAGCAAACATATCCTGGTCTTGGCTGGCAGAAAGGATGAAACCATTATATACAGCAGTGTCTACTTTCCAGGGACCTGAGATCTCCAGCGGTCACCAATGCGTTCAGAGCCTATGATGTTCAAATTCACCTGTGCACACCTGGCGCTTCCTCTTTCTCTTGGTTCTCAACATCCTGAGTATCTACAAATATATACAGACATAAAGAATCACAACATAAACTCGTCTTATGATCCACTGCAAACTTATGATCATAACAATTTAGATTCAGAGATACAAATGATCTTGTTATGAGAACAGGATACTCCGAGAAGAACAGCAAAGGAGGTCTACTGCTTCCTTCTAAAACGATGAGGTGGCTTGTTTTCCTCAGAAACTGGGCAAACTGGCCCTAATCTGTTCGGTTAATATCACTATTGGTTTTATGCCATATCTAGTAATCAGTTAAAATACTTCAACATTTCACAGAAAATTTCTGCAACACAGTGTATGTTTCATTAGACACAGCAGTTCTTGTTCATAGAGTTGAGATTATTCACTAAGACTAAACTGACAGGTGGATTCTCTAGAGCCTCAAAAAAAAAAAAGAACTATGGTGCTACTCATTGAATGCTTTGCCTTCAACAGCTGAAAACAACAGGGCTCACCAGGTGTGGTGATGCACACCTCTAAACCCAATACTCAGGAGGCTGAGCCTAGGCTCCACAGTGAGTTCCAGGCCAGCCTGAATTACAATGCAAGACGCTGTCTCAAAAAAAAAAAAATGAAAAAGAAAAGGAAAGTGACAGGACTCATGTTATACCTTAAGGTTAATGTCAGACATAGTCAAGATGTGTTTAAATTCTACTAGGTAGATGATATCTTCTCATGGATGAGACAACTTAGAGTGGCATGGATTTGACAAACCACGAGAACAATATCTCCAATGATAAAATCAAGGGGATACACATGTTTGGACACTCACTATGGTAGAAAGCACACAATTCAGGATCAACTCTTAGATAATCCTATGCAGGGGAGATCAACTATCCCAGCTTGAAAGAGTGAGCTTGAGCTGACCCATGCTAGGCACAGGCAACATGGTGGCCAAATCTGTTACAATCCCTTCACTTCATTTGCTCCTGTATTTGGTACCCTAAATTCTATTTTGGACCCAAAGAAATAAGGTTTGCTGAGGGCAATTCACTTCATAGTAACAGTACTCACAAGCTTCTTCCAGGAAATAGGAGAACTCATGATCACCTTTCAGGTAGCCAGTGGTCCAAGGAGGCTGCTGGGTGCACAGATCGCAGTTCTGAGAGGCAGATTTGGGTTGTCCAAGCAATGAGTGCTGCAGGACTTGTTGGACTTTTTCCTTGTTTGCTCCCTCACGGCTCATCCTGACAAGACAAAGAACACAAGCCAAGGAGGATCCACTGTGATATTCCCAGGTGGTACCAGTCGAGGTGTAAAGGAGTGGTCACAGAAAGTAAGGGGCACTACCTTTAAACAGAAAGAAAAGCATTATGCAGGAGCCGCCTGCCTGATGCCAGGAGACAGGAGGCAGTGCACAGTTCACTCCTGAAAAATGAGCTGATGTAAAAAGATTCTAAGTCTGCTGCGTGGTCCTGTCATGCAGCAACACGGAAAACCACAGTAGGGGCTCAACCTTCCTGTGGTGTTGACTTTACAAACAGCAGGATAGCCAATGCTTCTGAGAAATTGTAGAGTCCAAGAGATCCTGTACATTTGGAGATTCTGTTCATATATTATAATGTGAAATTTTTTTTTGTCTGGTCAGGTTCCTTGGTATGAAATCCCTGCTGATATGCTACTGCCACTCATACATAATCAGACAGGCATTACAGCTTCAATTCAACCAAGCAACAGAGAAAGAGTAGATTCTGGGAGTTTGATACATCTGTGAGGGTCATTAGTTCTACTCAACTGCAGATGAGTCTCACGAGGACAATGGATGCCTTGATTTAAAAAAAAGTCTCTTCTTCATAGGGTGAGAGTATGTCACTAAACAGGCAGGTTTTTCTACCTTTTCATGTAAAGCCCATGGCTACTTTAAATCTCCTCTTGGGACCATTTGGGAATTTCCTCATATGTTACTCATCCTAATCCAGATCCTGAATATATATTGTTACCTGGGGTACAGTGATTCATATTCTTTTTTCTTCTCTTCATCTTTATGGTTCTCTGCAATCAAATATAGAAATGTCAATCAGTCACTGAGCATATCCACATAATTCACTATGAACACAATGAATTCCCTGGGTAAGGAAACCTCAGTGTGCTCTTAGAGCCTATTAGATGGACTTGAGGGTGCCTCTTCTCTGGACATAGCACATGAGTGCTCCATTTGCACTCCTTCCGATCATATTTCTGTGGGTTCAAAGAAAACACAAGTGGTGCACACAAAGTGGAGAGGAAGCAGCGACACTGAGAAATGTCACAGCTCAGGGCTCAGACTCGCTGAAGCTTAACCCTGAGTCATCAGGCCATGCATGCTTCCTCTCCTGCGATACTGCCAACAACTGCAGGGCTCTAATGTCAGCACAGAGGAATAAACGTGTTATGACCACCCACTCACACATCAAGGGAAACCAAGACATTACAACAGACAAAACTATAAGCAGTTAGGGAATTTAATCTCTGGAAACTGTAGAAGCAACACACAAAATACACAACCAAATCCCAGCCGGATGAGGAGAAAACCTCCCTAACAGTGAATTTCCCTCCACTCATTTCATCCAGTAATTCACAGGCAGCTCTCAAGAAAAATGTTCAATACATACAGAGAGACAAAGGACAGTTTTAGGGAAACAGACCAAGCAGACATCGTAACAGACCAGGAGCATAGAGTAAGTATGGCTATCATGCTAACAGCTGTGATGGGAATGCAATCAGAAAGGCAGAAGTAAAGGAAACACTACAAATCAACCAAAAATCAAAGAAACAATGAAGGGGTTTTTGGGGCTCTGCATACGTGAGATAAAGCACTGGAAAGAATTTGTTTCCAAGAAATGTCACTAGAAACCTCAAAACTCAAATTCAAAGAGAAAAGAGAATGAAAAAGGCAAAGAAAAAAGGACTCAGTGGAGAGAACCTGCCTGTCACTCACTAGACACTGAGTTTCATCCCAAGAACCACAACATGCACACACACTAAGATTCAGTACATCTAAATACTATGGGACAAAGCCGGGCATGGTGGCACACACCTGTAATCCCAGTGCTCGGGAGACCAAAGCAAGAGGATTGCTGTGAGTTTGAGACCAGCCTGGGCTACATAGTGAGTTCCAGGTCAGTCTCAACTACATAGTAAGACCCTGTCTCAAAAAAC